GCAGTTCAAAAAAATATTTTTTGTTTTTTAACTGTTAAACGTTAAAAAAACTGTCTAAAATTCTTATACTGCTAGTTTTTATTACAATTGTTGAAATAAGTGTGATAAAAAGTAAAGTGGCAAAAGAAGAAAAATATAATATATCAAAAATTGAATTTGATGAAGTAAAAATATGCAAACTTTACGGTGTTGTGAGTAAATATATATGATATAATAATAATTAAACTATTTTTATTTTTAATATTTATAAACTATTGTATCTTTCAGTGCCTAAGTGACGAGGACTGTTGTTCGAATTTATGCATCAAACAAAGTATTTATCATAAACTCGTCTTGACTGTGTGTAAAAACAGTTAAGTGGTAGCACTCTTTCTTTCGTGATTGGTCTATTAAAATTTTTTATCGATACAATTTTTTTTTTATTAAATTAATACTATTTAATTGTATAAAATTGCAAAATATAATTGATTAAATCCGTACCAGTTAATTATAATCAATGGAAAATTCTTAAAACTGGAGAGAAAGCAATCAGCTGTTAGCACCGAAGCCGCCATTGAAGATATCAATCCGCGGGAATTTCAAAAATCTTGAATATTGGCGGGAATTTCAAATTTTAAAGAGATCAAAGTACCCTTCTACGTAGATTGAATTTAAAAATTTTAAAATAAATTTCTCTACTGCAAAATTAATTTTTTTTTGCGAAGCAACAAAAAAAATAAAATAATTTTTTTTTCTTATGATCTTGAAGTAATGTTCGGTTATTTTCTCAATTCTCAATAATATATATCTACATATAAATATATATTGCGGAGAAGAATAATTGAAAAAGCAATCGAAGGCGAATCGAATCCCGAAGAAAATCTGCTACACCGCATCACCGCATGGGTTAACCGCAGGCATCACTCAAAGCAGATTGCACGTGCACTGCTGAATTTAACAACCCGAGACGTGGTTCTACAGAAGAAAATAAAACAAAACAAGAACAAGAACAAGATAAAATTGCCGGAGACCGCTCAAGTAACTCTAAGCAACAAAAGGAGCTGCAAAAAGGCGCGAAAGTATTTCTCGAATACCGTGACCATGAAATCAACCTCTTCTCAGCTCTGCTAGTCCCTTTTTGTCTCCGATCCGATACGAAGCATTCTTCTGGTACTTTTTTTGCAGAACCCCAAATTTATTCCTTTTTTATACTTGGTACCAGCTTTTGCTGCGCATATGAGTAACGTACAAATTTTACCAAAAATAATTTATTTTATCTAACACCAAATCGGTAAAGTCTTATCGATGATAGAGATCTCTTATATTAGGAAGAAGCCAACCACTTATATCTATCCATCCTAATATCTCTACTAAGTCATAGTTATGTTTTTGAAAAATCACCTTTTTGGTAATTAATAAATAAAAGATATTGTTGAATGAAAATTTTTGAATTAAAATTCTTGAGGATTATTAATTAATTGAATCGTTAAATAAAGTATAGTATAAAATGAATAATATCAAGTGATAATAACAACGGAATAGGATGATTAAATCGATAAAAAGTTTAATGTGAGTTTTTATTATTTCCCGCTCGTAAGAAGACTAATAATTAAAATATCACTCGGTTTCATATCATTCTCACCAATTTATGATATATAATTAAGAAATTACCTTGTATCTTGTGAAATATTGACATTATTAAAGATATAAGCTCATCCCGATGTTACACTCATCGAGACTTTTCATTTGAGTACCCACATCAATTTTTCATATATTTTATATATTTATATATATTATATATAGGTATATATGAAAAATATATAAAAAATGCATGTGGGTACTCAAATGAAAGCTCTCGATGAGTATAACATCAAGATGAGCTTATATCTTAAAAAATGTAAATTATTAAGAAATGACCTTGTATCTTGTCAACTAATGATATTTTTAAAGATATAAGCTCATCCTGACATTATACTTACCAAGACCTTTCATTTGAGTATCCACATCAATTTTTCATATATTTTATATATTTATATGTATATATATATATATATATATATATATTATATATATATGTATATATGAAAAATATATCAAAAATGCATGTGGGTACTCAAATGAAAGGTCTCGATGAGTGTAACATCAAGATGAGCTTATATTTTTAAAAACATCAATACAACACAAAAGTCATTATGTAATAAAGCAAAATTTTATTCAGTTACAGTTCACAGTGACTGCAAGGTTGCTAGTTTATAATTATTATTCAACATTTCAAATAATAATAACATAAATATTTAATAAATGCAAAGCGATTAAACACCGAATAGTTTCCCATTGAATAGAGCCCAGACTAAACAATCCACATGCCTAACAGTATTAAAGTATTACAATAACATTAAATAATATACCAGTTGATATTTATTAGCGACCACCAACTGGACAATTCCTCCGTCGCATTCTCAGGTGACTTGAACTTTAAATAAAGCGTTTTATGAGAACAACTGGTGTATATACACCGAGTGTATGTAAGTGTAAGCGCATTAAAAAAAAAAAACAAAAAAAAAAAACAAAAAAACTAAAAGCAACACGCGGCAAAAGCCTTTCATTTCTCTCCTGTCTTCGGTCTTCTTGTTATGTTATGTATAGCAATATGTAGACTGTTACTTATATATATGTTGAACGCTACCGACTCAACCATTTGCTCTTACACTTATTTATTTGAGCACACACTGGTGTGTGCTCCAGTGTGTGCAAACCCCAGTAGCGTACAATTTACAATCTACAGTATAGAAGAATCTGTATAAATTTATACTAAACTCAGTACTTTGTACTTGTACTAATATAACAAATAAGGTACTTAGGGTAAGTTGGGTCAGGACTGGGACCGTAGAACAAGATAAGACTCTCCTTTCAGCGGTAATAATTTATGTCATTATGGTTTTAATTTTTTCCATATCACCAAAAATATTTAAAAAATGTCTAAAAACTCTTTTAAAAATATAAATTTAAACTTTATGTTTAAATAGTTAATCTAGATAAAAATATACTGAGATTTATATTGCATTATAACCAACCATAAACAAATATTATATTAATTCTATTTAAGTTATTTTCTAAGATGTTTTTGACTTATTTTATGTATCAGTATTGTCTTTAAAAAAAAAAAATTAGAAAAACGGTTCACCCTAAAGGCCATCCCTGCAACTTCCCGCTAATTCCATACCTGGGCGCTTAAAATTGTACTTATGACATTTTTGAGATTTTTGAGTTCAAAATATAATTTATGAAATATTTTGAGCTCGCTGAGTTCAAAGAGATAATATTTCTATGCATTTGAGCTCTCCCAGCTCAAAAGTCTGATAGAAGTTTCATAGAACACTATTTTTGGAATTTTCAAACCGCAATAACTTTTGAATGAATGAACCGATTTTTACGCAGTTGGCGGCATTCTACGCAGTTTTTTAAGCCTCATAAAGAATTCTTAAGTTTCAATTGGTTAAATTAGAAATTTTGGAGTAATTCCGAAAAAACACTTTTTTCATTTTTTTCTCGTTCACGATATCTCTTGAACGAATCAACCGATTTTTACCGGATTGGCGGCAATCGACGTGGTTTTTTAAGGTTGAGAGCTGATTAGTTTTTGAAATTGATCGGTAGAGCCGTTTAAAAGTTATTCCAAAAAAACCACTTCTGAAAAAAATTTTTTTCCTATTTTTTTTGGAGATTTCTCTAAATTTCTCAAAATCTATCTGTCCGAATCGGTTCAAATTTTCAGGAAATCTAAGTTTAGTGAAGCCCTTTCGAATGGCACCAACCGCGATGAAATCGATTCAACCGTTCAAAAGTTATAAGAGGTTTACATACTTACACACACATACAGACATAGTGACACCCTCGCGGGAATAGTCAGGGAAGTTTCCTAGGATCTCAAAACGTCGAGATTTGATGAAAACTCGATTTTTGAAAAACGGGGTAAAACCAATAACTTCCCAACTTTTGAAAATTTTCAATTTTTTTAGCGGGAAGTTAAAAACATATTTATTAAAACCAAAAAAAAAAATTCTTCCAGGGAATAGGACATAGTATCCCTGATTAAAAAGAATTGAAAGTCGACGGTCTAATTAGCAATTTGTCTAACTCCTTATTTTTTAGAGGGTGATTTTTTAACATTTTGATGTTGCCACAATCGAATTATAAATTATTTGAATGATTAAAACCTAAATATTATATCTCTATTAGATAATAATGTTATTAAATGGTTTTTTAAAGTGATAATAAATTTTAAACTAATTGTTTTTTTCGTACAAATAGATTCTCTAAAATGGAGTTAGACAATTTGAACGTCTAAGTATTCAAATTTCATCATTTTTAATCCTTTTCAATCAATATTTTTAACCAGGGATAGCTTCTTATTCATATTACACTTATTCTACTGCTTTCTACCAATCCAATCCAGTTTAGTACAACTGTACTGTTACCAGTTGGTACTTTCTAGGTATGGTCTTAAACCTGCATCCTGCATGTAATGCTACTCCTGCTAAAGTTGGTGTTGTCTTGATCTTGCACGAACGGCTTTACCTTACCGGGAGGCTTTAACCCTCCATATTTATCGCCTTCTGCTTATACGGCTGGCTGATGTTGAGCAAAACTTTTTTTAACCCTCGACAATTCTCTTTCTTGGGATTTCTGCTTTTGGAGTTATTAATTGTATCCGGATAATTACGTACTTTACTCTATAATACTATTTTGTGATATAAGGTCGTAATTAGTTCTTGTATCTTAGCTATTTCTTCTTTTTTTTTTTTTTTCAATAATTTAACTAGCTGTTTTAGGTAATTAAAATTTTTTAATCGTGATATTTTATTTTAAAAAAATTATTAAAAATTTCTACGGATTATTGAAAAAATTTAATAAAATTTTATTAAATTAAACTTATTTATCTAAAGATATTGATTAAATTATTTTAAGAAAAATTATTTTTGAAAATTATTTATTAATTTAAGATAAGACAGTTTATTGGTTTATTTATCGGTCTTCTTAGCTTTAGTGGATGCCTGTTGTGCTCTGATTACTTTCACGACAATTTTCTGTTCCTCGATAAGGAAGGCACGGACGATCCTGAAACAATAAATTATCAATATATATTCGCGCATTCGCGCGCCCCCTATCGAAATTCTCGAATGAATTTATCCTGTTCGATTTATATCGATATATTGATATGTTCACGTACCAGGAGATTGACCAATAGTAACTGAGGAGGGTTTATATTCTACCAATAAGGAATCAGGTCCCATTTTTTCGACTATTGACTAACTTCAAACTGTCATGTATTTTTATTGTAGGGATTTACAAATCAATCTATATTTTTAATAAAAAATTTTTCGCTTAATAAAATTCTTTTAGAATAAGTAGGGGTTTAATATTGCAATAAAAAAAATGCTTTAACAATTATTTCAGAAAAATTTCAGAACTACATTTTATTATTATTGTTATTATTTATTATTTTTTGAATTTAAAACTTTTTTTTTAGAACGAGACAAAAAAAAGATAATATTCAAAATTAATAATTTATAATTCAATTAAAATTGGTAGACAATTGATAATTTTTTTTTTAAATAATAAACTAAGCCGAGAAAATTATTTATAAAAAATTGTACTTGTAGTTATTTAAAGCTTCTAAAGATAGAATTTTTTAAATAATTTTTTTTTGCTATAATTCACAAGTTAAAAATTTTTAAAGTTAGTCGGACGTCTCTAAATTTTAAATACTTTAGTTAGCCTGCTATTATAATTATTATATTCAATTTAGTAAATTTAAATTAATAGACAATTGGTCTTTTTTTTTTAATTATAAAACAAATCTAGAAAATTAGATTTTGTAATTTTTCAAAGCTTTTAAAAATAGAATTTTTTAAATAAATTTTTCTTTCTATAACTTATTAATTAAAAAATTTTTTAAAATTAGAAGTTTTAAATAATACTATAGTTAGCCTACTATTGTACTTAATTATTACATTCATTTTAGTAAATTATGTAATAATTTATGTAATTATTTATGTAATAATTTTTTTTAATAAAAAAAAAAAATTGTCAGATATCTGTTAACTTAATTTTCATTGATTTTAGTATCATAATAATTGATACTTTGATTAAAAAAAAAAATCTTACCTTTCTTTGACACATTTGTGGCACAAGACACCTCCGTAGACGCGCTTTACTGTCTTCTTACGTTTGCACATACGTGACCGCTCCATTGGTCTCGCTGGTTGGATACCTCTGAGCTTGTCATGGCATTGACCACACCTGGGGATCTTCTTGGGTTTCTTCAGGTATTGGTAGACCAATTTGCCACCAGGTGTACGCACACTAGTCAAAAAAAAATTAATTAGTAAAATTTAAAAAATTTTATCAACTCCAAAAAAAATAAAATAAAATAAGTAAAATTTTTTAAAAAAAGAAAAATAAGTTAAATTTACTATAAATTATTATGATAATTATAAAAATAAAATTCACAATACTGACACGTGCAAAAACATCCGAACATAACCTCAAAAATAAATAATTAAAAAATTTTGACGTAAAAAAAAAAAAGTTTTGGAAATTTTATAAAGAAAAAAAAATTAATAAAATAGAAAATTAAAAAAAAAAATAACATACATGCGTCTCCTGTTGCTTTTGGTATTGTACGACAATCGTCGTCTTAAAACCAGGCGTTGGACCATTTTCAATCTGAAATGATAAAAATTAAATTAGAAATCAGTGACAATAAATAATTGGTTTGAAAAATTAAAAAAATCTCTAATTTATGTTCCGCGGTGTTATTTTTATAAAAACAAAGGGATTGGAACAAACAAATCAGATTTTATTGCATTAAAAAATATAAATTATACTCACCGATGCTTGTTTGCACGAAAAAGGGTCTAAAAGAAAAGAATTAGTGGGATATACTATTCTTATATCGCAGCGCCATCTATAAAGAAATAGAAATTGTGGGTAAGTTAGTAGACTTTTGAAGTGAGTGTTGGTATTACCAAAGAAAGATGGCGCTTGAAGGTTAAAACCGGGTGCTTGTGTTTATAAGGTTCGAAAATAATATTAGTTTTATTATTTTTTGTGGTGGTTGTGAAGTTAACTGTCAGCTGTCAGTTTTAGAAATTTTAATAATTAATTAAATTATTTAATTACAATAACAACAAGTGTTCTGATTTTAAATAGTCATTTTTATTAATTTTTGTGAGTGGAATTGTTTGTGACACTGAAGTTGGTAGACATTTTGTTGTAATTTTATAATAAAAATTAATTTAGCAGTTATTTCAGAATTTTAAGAACTTTTTTAACTATAATATACTATGGCAAAAAAAAGATTATTAATAAAATTGACGTGCAGAAATTTTAATAAATTAAAAATGAAATTTTTTTCTAAATAATTCTTTAAATAAATTCGCTTGTTAAAGAAAATTGAAAAATTGTCAAGTGACAGCTAAATTAAATGTTGAAAATTAAGTTAGCCGCCGTCTAAAAATTTTTAGAATGTTTTTTATCCAAAAAAATTATCGCAATTTTTTAAAAATATTTTTTCGTTCAAATTTAATTAATGAAAAAGAATTTAAAAAAATATAAACGTTGGCTAACTTTAGTATTGTAATTAAATGTCATATTTTATATCAATTAAATTATTATGAAAATTTATTGAAAGAAAAAAAAAATATGTGAAAATTGTGATAATTAAATTAGCAAACATTTTATTTTATTTAAATAAACAAACCCAACATTCTAAGGAAAATTTTTTTTAAAAATTGCACTTAAGTATTCCTGGTTGAGAATACTGATTGAAAAGAATTGAGATTATATATACAAACAAAAGAATTGAAATTATTGAAATTTATTCGAATTTCATAATTTTTAATTCCTTTCAATCAATATTTTTAAACAGAGATCTTAGTTTTAATTAAAAAAAATAATTTTTTTTTAATTTGGAAAAAAAGAATTTAGATTCAAGTAGAACATTTTTTCATTAAAAAAAAAAAAAGTGCAACTAATTTTACCTTAAATGTTCTAAACAATTATCTTTAAAAAATTGCATTTTTAATTATTTAAAATTTCTGTATGTCAATTTTATTTCTCATAGGATAAATGCACCAGTTGTTGACCGGTCACCAATTAGTTGACCGATGTATAAAAAAGTTAATTAATTAATATTTTACAAGGGTTTTTTTTCTCTTAAAGTATTAAAATAAAACAATATGGCATTTAATCATCATAATAAAAAATTACGCAATTAATTGGGTTTGTTTACAACGGAACCAGCCATAAAGCGGTCAAAAATAACTAGCGTACAATTATTGGAGAGTGAGTGCATTTCATCATTAATTTAGTGATATTTATCGGCATAATATAAAATATTTTAGTTTTATTATGTTAATTAAAGATCAGATTCCAACTTTTTTGAAAAAATAAAGTGAAATTATAAGTTTTAATATTATTTTAAGACCGGTCAACTATTGGATCCGTCAGAAGCCCTTTACCCAGTCAAAAATTCATTCGGTCATTTATTAGACCCTCTGATTTTATCACAATCCAATTAATCACCGTATATTTATAATACTAACTTCTTAACTTGAAAATTAAATCTGTCAAGTGTTTAAAGTACTTTAGTCATTCAATATTTTGTAAATATAAAAATAATCATTATAAAATGTATATTTATAATTAAAATAATACTTAAATTCTTCTTTGATTATTAAATTTTATTTTGTTGTAATTTTTTTAGTCAACGGTTATATCAAAGAACGAATTATTAGAAGAAAAAATTGCTAAGCAATTAAAAAAATAAAAAAGAGCTACAAGCTAGTAAAAAAGCTTTAATTGAAAAAAAGAAGGAGAAAAATAAAAAAATTTCAAGTCAATCAGAAGAATTATCCTCATCAAAATGAATTTGTGATTATTTGTGACCTAAACAAATGTGACTTTATGTTAATTATTGCTATTATTTATATTATTTTTTAAAAAAAGTACGATTTAAAATTATATTGTATGTTTAGTTTTGTTAAAGATGTCGTTAATACTTCAAAAGTACTGCATAAATTTAATTACATACATGTAGTTTACAAAATTACTTATAATTATTTGAGCGGTGAATTAATTGGAGAACGGTCGGTCATTTATTGGGTTTCTTCGGTCAATAATTGGTGATTTTAGTATTTCAACATTCAAATAACAAAATTAATATAATTTTGTTAATTTTTATTATAAATAGTTATTAATTATTATTAATTAAGTATTTAACTTCAATAACATCCATTACAAATTATTTTTAGTAGGTTAATAGATTTTTTACAGCTTAGTACATATTTCAAGATTCAAATAACAAAATTAATATAATTTTGTTAATTTTTATTATAAATAGTTATTAATTATTATTAATTAAGTATTTAACTTCAATAACATCCATTACAAATTGTTTTTAGTAGGTTAATAGATTTTTTATAACTTAGTACAGAAAAAGAAAACCTTAATCGGTCAATAATTGGTGCATTAACCCTATTCTTTATAATTTATTTGTTAAAAAAATTATTTTTAATTATCAAATATCTGCTAAATTAATTTTCATCCAAAAAAAGGTGAATAAAAAAAAAAAATAAGAGGTGATAAAATAAAAATAAATAAAAAACAAGATATTTACATCGTATAAGGTATGTTATTTATTATATCTTATGTACATTCATCTGACAACACCATAGGAAAAAAGTATCTTTCAAACACATTTCAGAATTGCTTGCGTTTTAACTCCCCCACTCGTCTTAAGACTATTTGTTTGTTTATAATTAATTATTTACTTTATCCATTTATTTATTTATTTATTTATTACTTTATTTTGTTCGTTTGTCTTATAATTTATTATTTCTGGCATTAATTTAATTATGGTACAATAAAGAGTGGCATTTATTAAGTGAACAAAAAAAAGTATGAGCTGTTTGTAAGTATTACGGGACGGTACCTGTTTGTTCGTTTCATATCTCGTTTATCAATCATCATCATCATCATCTTCATCATATTCCTCAATATCAATATCACCCTCATCTCCTTCAATATTATCATTATCATATCAAGCAATATCAATTCAAAATTCATTTACGAAGCAGGTACTTTGGCAAAGTTCGCTGTAATTATTCGTTAATTCGGTAAATTAATTAGACCGCGGAACTTAATTTCTTCTTTTATAATTTTACAAGTCTGAAATGTTTTGCCTCTCTCATTTAAACAAACCATTTTTTTTTAATTATTAAATAAATAAATAATTGAGGCGTAAGGAATTAAGTAACGTGCGTACAATAAATCATTCTTATTTTTCCATTCAAAGCCTTCGACATTTCTTCTTCGTTTTTTTTTTTTTTTTTTTTGATTTAATCTTCAATATAATTTCAATTAAAAATTATTTTTTGACTAAGCATACTTGCCATTTATATTAATTTATATAATTTATAAAATTTTCATTATTTCTTCTTTTATTACAATTAAACGAAAAGAAAAACTTTACGTTAAACGTAAAGCTTACAAATTTTATAATTATTGAAAGTTTTATTTATTATTTATTTATTTATTTTTTATTATTAATAATAAAACTTTCAATTATAATTATATATACATCTTTGAATCAGGCTTTCGAATATATTTTAAATAAATTTTTATTAAACGGACAGTACGGATTCGAGATCATGGTACTCGTTAATTATCTCTACGATTGTATTTCTTCGTTATTAAAAACACTTTTTTTATTAATACGAACATTTAGGAAGATTGCGCTAGTTCCTAATTTTTTTTTTTAACATTTTCTATAAAATTTGAAGAGTATTTCACTTATTGCTTTGTCAATTATTACTTTTTTCTTTACAATCGCTCAAATTTTCGGTGAGGAAAAAATAAAACCACCGCTTTTATTTTAAAAATAATAATAAATAATAATAATATTAATAAATATTTAATCAAAAATTTAAATTTATGATATGTTCTTTTAGAACACCCTACGCTTTAGATTTAGTGCAAAAGTACGCTTTTATTTATTTCTTCTCTTAAAATAAATAAATAAAAATATTAAAATAAAATTTAACTAAAAAAAAAAATAAAATTTTTTTAAATTTACCCCGACGGGATTCGAACCCGGTTCCTTCTGAATAATAATTATCAAGCGTACTTTTGCACCGTGAAGAAGGAAACAATATACAAACAAGAGTCGGCAGTCGCCAGAGGGCAGTTTAATTTGTAAAATGATCTTGTTTGAAGGTTATGTTGATACAAAGTAACCCAACGAAGAAATAAATATAAACACTCGAATCTTAGACTTAGAGGTTGGCACGGAAACACTTCCACTTGCAATTCTTGCGATTCTAAAGCAATTTTACAATAAAAAATATTAATAATAATAATTATAACTATTTAAGTTTACTCTCACACATGGATCACAGATTACACGCACTCCATCTTTCATTTCTGAAAGCGTTCAATTAAGCTTTTACAATTAATTAAAAATTACATATATTCATATATTCATACTTTATATTCATATATTTTTATTTTTATTTATATATATTTATTTAGATTTAATTTATATATATTTTTTATATATATTTATAATAGAGTATTTAGGTCGCCGAATAGTTTCCAAGACTTTAGGCTGGTGGTTTTTGCTCACCGATTTATTACAGTTTTAAATATTTTAGATTTCTTCTTTGTTTTTAATTTTCTTCACAAAGTAAGGTTATTTTTTTAAAAAAATTCTCTTTTAATAAAAATTGCACAATATTAATTGTTTTATTAAATATTTCATTAATTTTCAGTGTTAATTTTAAGGTTAAACAAAGAAGAAAAGATTTAAAACAAGAAAATTCAAATTTAGAATTTTAATCTTGTAAAAAACAATAAATTAAAGTTAAAACATGGAAGAACAAGTTTTAAAAAAAATTATTTAATATTTCTTCTTTGTTCAAAGTTATCTTTACAAAATTATAATGAAATTTAAGTGTAAATATCTTTACTGAAAAATTACAATAAATTTCTTCTTATAAAACACATTTAAATTAAATTTTGAGGTTAAACAAATAATCTAAAACAAACTAAGTTACTTTGTTTAAGAAGAAATTGTTAACTTTATAGATAACCTTAAAAATGTCGAACAATTTAATTAAAAATCACTATTGTTCCTTTGTAACCTCAAAAGATACAAAGCATCTTATTGTTTGCATCAATGAAGATAAAAATTTTTGTTTTTGTAACACTGAAGACATAGACAACATTCATGAAATTTCAGTTGTACAAATAAACAATTTAGAACAAAAACAAAAGTTTATTTTCTAAAAAAATGTGAGCTTTGTTTATAACCTCAAAAATTTCTTTAAATTTGAGTATTCTAACCGAAAATTAAGATTGTATCTTTTTAACCTCACAAAATACATTGTTTGTGTAAAAGAAGATTATTATTAACACTGAAGAAATAATTTTGTATTAAAAACTAAAATGATATTGTATTAAAATATAAAATAATTTTTATTAAAAATTTTGAATTAAAAACTAACATTAAAAATGAAGAAATAAATGACAATTTTTGTTTTTAGAACACTGAAGATATAGACAACATAAAATTAAAAAACGCTCTAATTTTTTAAACAAGTCATAAAATTTCAGTTATACAAAGAAACAATTTAGAATAAAAACAAAGCTTTGTTACATAAAAAAAAAATGTTAACTTTGTTTGTATAACCTCAAAATTTTCTTTAAATTTATTGAAAATTCTAACCAAAAATTAAGATTGTATCTTTTTAACCTCAAAAATACAAACATTGTTTTTGACAAAGAAGATTATTATTAACACTGAAAAAATATTGTATTAAAAAAATGAAAATAATTTGTATTAAAAACTACCATTAAAAGTGAAGAAATAAATGACAATTTTTACAAATAACCTTCTAATGATCATTTTAAAACTTTTTTTCGGGGATTCCCCTTACAGTGCTGCCACCAGAAGGTTAAATAAATAACTAATATTTAAAACTGTAATACCGACGCATAACCTCAAATTTGAGCAATTGTTTTCTACCTTAATTATTTTATTTTTTTAATGACTTAAAGACTTTTAGGCCTCAACTCCTCGGTTTTAATATCGTTTCGTGAAATACAGCTTCAACAATAAAAAAAATGAATAAAATATTTATAAAATAGATAAGAACCAAGTAGCCAAAAAGCCATCGAAGTAGAAAAGACTTAATCTGACAAATGAGGCAGTGATTGCTTTGTTTATTTATTTCTTCTTTTAAATATTTAAAAACCAATCATTAAATATTTATATTTTATTTAAATACTTTTCTGGTTCCTGGACTTGGCTCAGCCAAGGTGGAATGTCATCATCTTCATCTTCTTTAATCATTAATAATAATATTAATATTTATAATAATAAAATAATAATTAATAATAATAAAAATCAAATGTTTGTTTCAGATTGGAGGATCAGACGAGAAAGCCCTGGGAGGTGGCGGACATCTGGGCTCTCAGGGCGGTCACACTGTTCATTATCTTCTTCTGGTGCCCGACGAGGGTGATCCCGAGAGCCGTCAGCTCCTGGACTGTCACTCTGGCGGCTGCTTCCAGGGTGGTCACTCCGGCTCGCTCGAAGCTCTCCAAGTACCGGGACATCTTTATGGAAGCCAGCCACTCCGACACTGACGTCAGCTGGGTCAGGTCAATCGCGTCCGGGGCCAGTGGATTTGCTCCCCTGTGAATCCCATTTTAATTAACTTATCAGCCACGAGATTTACGCTGAAACCTGGGACAAGGGCTCGAGGGTCAAGGTCACTAATTTTGGAAGGTCAGGAATTCACTTTTTTGGTAAGTAATATTTCATTTTATACTTTTTTTTTATTTTAGAAAATTTTTTCTAAAAATAATTTTTTAATAAATTTTTTGTCATAAAATTTTTATAAAATTAAAAAAATAATTTTTTCATTAAATCTTAAAAAACAAATTTTAGATATTTTTTATTATATTAAAAAAAAAAAAAGAAAAGAAAGAGATAAAAAAAAACCCCGGCCGGGAATCGAACCCGGCGCGTTCTGGTTGGATATAAAGCGGCGTTAGCGCGCGGCTAACCTGGAAATTTCTGGTGCGAGTAATTTGAATTTTAAAGATTTCTAAACAATCTTTAGGAGTTAAGGAACAATATTAAGAGAGTTTTAGAAGTGATTTTTGATAATTAGAAGAGTAAAAAATGGTTAAAAAAAATTTTTTTCAATTATTAATTGTTCATAACTTTTTGAGATAAAAATGAGATAAAATTAATTGAATAAAAAAATAAAAATTAATTTAAAATAAATTAATAAAAATTTTATAAAATTTTTGCAAAAAAGTGAAAACCTGGCATCAATAATATAAAGGAATTATATATATACAATAAATAAAAGGTCAGTGAGGTAACTCCTAAATCTCAAGATTCATTTAAATTATTTATTGATCAGGTTCATATCAGAATTATAATTAATGAATAAAAAAAAAATAAACAAACATCAAGTCTTTAGGATATGTATAAAATATTTACATACGAGAAACCCTCAGATTTCTCTCTAGCATATTAATTATATTATTTACACTATAAGGAAGAGAATTTAAACATGGTTCTTAATAGTTAACAATAAAAATCCATTAATTAAATATACAATAAATATTCAAATTTACAGTTTAGGTTTTAACCTAGTTCTAGTTCGACAATGTCGTATTTGCCACAAAAACTAAATCATAATAATAATAATAATAATAATTTATCAATTAAAACAACTAAAATACATTAAGCTAACGAAAGTGCGTATGAAGCAAGCAGTGCTTAAATAATACAGGGTAGGGTCAAGCATTTCTATAAAAAAACTCAAGTATTAAAACCTTAAGAAGCAAAAAAATTAAAATTTCACAGAAAGAAAAATTTCTTGGCTCAAGAAAACTTTTTTTTTTAATTTTTGTCTTCCCAATATTCGTCAAAATTCTTGATTTTAATTTAAAATAATTTAAACAATGTAATAATTGATGATTTTTAAATATTTAAAAATATTAATGAAAATTTACTTCTATCTTGACTTAAATAAATTTTTTTGGATCAACATCCGTATTTCTTAAAGCAAGATAATTAATTTTGTTGGAATAAGTGAATTTTTTTGTCAAAAAAAAATTTTTTTTTAAGAAAATAATTAGAAAGAAAAATATTTTCTTGGCCTTTTTTTCCGTGTAAAAATAAATAAAAAATTTTTTTGCTTCTTATTGTCCATTACATCCAGACTTGGGTTCGTTTAAACAAAACAATAAACAAAAGTTAATTAATAATAAATGACAACGAATAATGTCAGTTGGTAGTTTTTTTTAAAAACCCAGGTCTCTTGTTATTTTTACCTTTGTTTGAAATGCACGGTGGTAGCTGATGTGGCGGGTGGAGGTGGGGGTGGTGCACCCCTTTCTCTGATTCTGATAATTGTTAGTACATTTGTTAGTGCAATAAACACTATTATTATTATTATTATTATTATCATTATTATTATGTTTCTTTTTTATCTCTTTTTATCATTTTTGCATTTTTTTTGTATGTCCGTTAATATAATTTACCACTGCTTTATGGTTCAGTTAAATAATTTACACTTTTTTTATTATGATTAATTTTTTATCGTCGCCATTAAATTATTTCTTAGAGAAATTATACTTTTTATTATCAACGTGAGTTGAGGGAGAGCTGTGCGTGTCCGAGTGTTGTGTGAGTTCCAGTAAAAACAAATATTTAACTGATATTAATAATAATAACAATAATAATAATTAAACATAAATTATAACAATGTGTTTAAAATAAATTAGTTAAGCGCATTACGGTTTAATTTTGATGTTCCCATGATGCTGTTTAATTTAAACTCTGCCCGGGTATAATAAATGCATAATTGCTTTTGTCTTTATACCCGTGTTTAATATCTCATGTAGAAAAATACTATTACTAATATAATATAATATAATATGATAAAACGCTCTGGCGTATACTTTAAGAGAAGTCTTTTTTTTTTAATAAGTCAATAAATATTTTTTTTTTATTTTTTTTATATATAGATACTTGAAGACGTTTTATACAATTTTTTATATAACTTTTTGAAGAAAAAAAAAAAAAAAAAAAACTCCGGCCGGGAATCGAACCCTGCGCGCTTTAGGTAGATATAAAGCCGCGCTCGTGCGCGGCTACTCTAAAGATTTCAGGTGCGAGTAAATTGAATTTTAAAAATTTGTAATTAATCTGGAGGACATAAGGAACAATATTAAGAAGGTTTTAGAAGTTATATTTGATGTTTAGAAGAGTAACAAATGGTTATAAAATTTTTTCGGGTTAAAACTTAAATTTTTGGAGTATAGATAAAAATGTCGCATTTTATGATCATTGCTTTTTTTTAAAGTATTGAATTTATAGAAAATTGAGGGTATAAATTAAAAAAATTAATTTTCCGATGAAAATAATTTAGTTTACTTATTTTAGTCAATAAATATATTTTTTATAGATACTTAAAGACGTTTTATGCGTTAAAAAAAAAAAAAATTCCGGCTGGGAATCGAACCCTGCGCGTTCTGGGTAGATATAAAGCCGCATTTGCGCGCGGCTACTCTAAAGATTTCAGGTGCGAGTAAATTGAATTTTAAAAATTTTTAATTAATCTGGAGGACATAAGGAACGATATTAAAAGGGTTTTAAAAGTGATTTTTGATAATTAGAAGAGTAACAAATGGTTAAAGAATTTTTTTGGGTCAAAATATAAATTTTTGGAGTATAGATAAAAATATCGCATTTTATGATCATTGTTTTTTTTTTAAGTATAGAATTTATAGAAAATTGAGGGTGTAAATTAAAAAAAATTAATTTAGCGTTTTTTTTTTATTGCAATTTTAGCTCGGAATTACGCAATATGTTACGGAAAAAAAAGTTTAAATATGACCGGCGGGCTAAAAACGTTGTACTATAATTTTTATTTATAGCGCAAACTAAAAATCGCTGTAAGTAAAAATTATTACCCTGCGAGATATAACTTAGTTCACTTACCATAGCAGTTTTTAGTAAGTAAAAAAAAATTTTGCATTCTTTTATAACTTTTCATCAGAAAATGCGACATTTTATTAGTAATTATGGTGATTAACAGAAAAAGTTAAGATTTTTATAACAATTTTTTACTTACTTTCTGACGAGTGTAAGAAATTGTTTTTGTAAAGGGTGTGTGAAAATTATAAAAATGAAATTTTTTAGACTAGGGAAGAAATGAATATTCTAATTTAAAAGCGGGGGATTATTATAATTTCTTAACCTTCTTAAGGATTATTAATTAATTGAATCGTTAAATAAAGTATAGTATAAAATGAAGGATATCAAGTGATAATAATAACGGAATATGATGATTAAATCGATAAAAGTTTAATGTAACTTTTTATTATTTCCCGCTCATAAGAAGACTAATAATTAAAATATCACTCGTAAATAAAAATAATTGTAACCTTTTAGTGACCTTTTGTTATTATTTATATTTTTTGGTAAATAAAAAAAGGGATGATTTAAAATGGATAATGTATAAAGAAGATTAATTGTGAGGATTAATTTAATTATTAGAATTAAAGTTTAGAAAAAACACCAAGGATAAAACGTCTTCAATATAAGTTTATAGTTTTGATCTAGTTAAAATTTATCTTTAATTAATAATTAATATTTATTTAATGTGTCACTAAACACACATACTTGTTATATATTCGTTGATTTAATTGCTTCTACAAACTTACTAACAATAAAACCTTTTCAATATAAACTTGCTATTCTTCTCGATTAATCTACTGACTACTAATAAATATATTCGCTTTTATCGTAATAATAATAATAATAATAATTTATAATTTATAATTATAATATTAATATTCATAATAATTAATAATAATTATACTCATCATAATAGTTAATAATAATAATAGATATTAATCTTTAATCAATAATTAATCTATTGCTTATAAAAAAGATATAATCGTCGCGGCGCGTCGATCGCTGTAGGAAATCTTGATGTACAAAAGTGGTTTTAAAAAATAAAAATTTATAGCAATCGGTTGTTCAATTGCGGTGTTATGGTCGGTTGTGGCGGTTTGAGCATGGCAGTTAAATAAATTCTTATATTTTTTTTATATGTTTTGTATGTATGTATGTATGACGTATGTTAGTTAATAACTAATTCTGGGAAGATAATTGTATATATCATCATCATATATTAAAATTCAATCTATATAATTTTTTTTAATAGCTTTATAAGTTGCCTTTTATGATTGTCCAATATTATTTTAGGTCATATATATTCATATATACCACATATGTGATCATATAGTGTCAAAAATGGGCATATGAACTTCATTTGTGAACAATTAAGTCTTTTATCATTTGATACAGCTTCAGATGATCATATAAGCTTCATATATGGTCACATATACTTCATATGAGATCATATAGTAATTCATATGCTCCATATGTGAAAAAGTATTTTATTATTGGATATAGCTTCATATGATCATATACGGCCATATGTGATCTATAGTGTCACATATTCTTTGTATGTGAAGAATTAAGTCTTTTGTGATAGAATTTAGATTTATATGACCATAAATGGTCATATATATGCATCACATATGGTCATAGGTGATCATATAGTGTCACATATGATTTGTATGTGAAAAATTAAGTCTTTTATACTTGGAAGTATCTTCATATGATCACATATGTTAATAAATGGCCATATGTGATCATATATGATCACATGAAAGCATTTATCATCATATAATGTCACATATATTTAATATGTGAAAAATTAAGTTTTTCATGATAGAATTTACCTATATATATGACCATAAATGGTCATATAAGTATCACATATTGCCATATGTGATCATAAATCCAATATGTGAAAGTTAAGTCTTTTTTAATTGGATACGTCTTTATATGATCACCATATATGGACACATATGGTCATTAAGTGTCACATATGGTTAATATGTGAAAAATTAAGTCTTTTATACTTGGAAATATCTTCATATGATCACATATGTGGTTAATAAATGGCCATGTGATCATAGATGATCACATGTAAGCATATATTGTCATATAATGTCACATATATTTAATAGATGAAAAATTCAGTTTTTAATGATAGAATTTAGCTATATATGACCATAAATGGTCATATAAGTATCACATATTGCCATATGTGATCATAAATTCAATATGTGAAAAGTTAAGTCTTTTTTAATTGGATACATCTTTATATGATCACCATATATGGTCACATATGGTCATTAAGTGTCACATATGGTTAATATGTGAAAAATTAAGTCTTTTGTGATCGAATTCAGTTTCATATGACCATAAATGGTCATATATGCATCACATATGGTCATATGTGATCATAAATTATCATATAGTGTCATATATAATTAATATGTGAAAAATCAAGTCTTTTATAATTGGATACACTTTCATATGATCACATGTGTTAATATATGGCCATATGTGATCATTATGGTCATAAAGTGTCACATATGGCTAATATGTGAAAAATTAAGTCTTTTATTAATAATATAACTTTATATGACCACAAGTGGTCACATATGCATCACATATACTCCATATATGATCACATATGGACAAATAGATGATATACGAGGAGTGATGACAGATAATTGATTTCCCAGAACGGATTTAAAACTAAACGGCGATTTGTGTACAGTACAGTAGTGAAGTGACTGATAACTATAAAACATAATTTAAAAAAAAAGTAACACAACTATCAGCCAAAATGGGAAAAAGGAACCCAATTGGGATAAGTTAATGGTGACTGATGTGGTAATGCGTGTGTTGCTGCATGTGTGTGATAGTGTAGACTACGTCCGGCTCCCGCTGGCATTACTGGAACGGCAATCGTTGCTGATGATTGGGCCTGGTGGCCCCCAGATACATCAACAAATTGTCCTGGACCTTGGACTAAACCAGAATTCATCGATTGGCTTGTCACGTAATAAGGGTTGTGTGCTGGCGGCCTCACACTGTTGTTGATGAGAACAGTCGTCATGTTGAAGTAGTTGGTGATGATGCAGTTTCAATTGACCCATTCCAAATAGTCACAGTTGGTTGACGTAGTTGCGGTCGCAGTTGAAGACGGGTACCAAAGACACCACAAAACCAAAACCACAAAGAATTAGCCCAGAAAAAGGACAGGATAAGCAAATTTTTTGTTTTTTTTTTCATTCTTTTTTTTTTTTTTATTCTTTTGTGCTTCAATTTTTGCCAGAATTTTTTTTTTTTTAATAAGTTTTATTTCTTTTTCTTTTTTGTCAGGAGATTCAGGACCGGGACAAATAATAAGCGCTAAGCGACAAAAGCTAAAGTAAAATTAAGCAACGCGGTTTTTTTTATTACTTTGCTTTTTTATTATTCAATTTACTGTGATTAAAATAAATAAAATAAGTTGACGAATAACGTCCATAAATTAATTTTGCTCGAGATTTTTTTGTTAAAATTTTTTTTTTTGTAAAAAGGTTATGTTTTTTTTTGTCTTTTTATTCCACTACTTAGAATTTTAATAGTAGCAATTTTTTTGAGACAAAAATTATTAAATTAATGTGAAGAATATAAAGAAAACTTTTTTTTTAATAATTTATGACATTAATCTATATTATTAAGAAACTAAGAGAATTTTGTGTCCAGGATAGTCATATCTTGATCACTACATACATAATTAAGAAATGACCTTGTATCTTGTGAACTATTGACATTTTTAAAGATATAAGCTCATCCTGATGTTACACTCATCGAGACCTTTCATTTGAGTATCCACATCAATTTTTCATGATATTTTATATATTTATATATATTATATATATGTAAATATGACTAATATATCAAAAATACATGTGGGTACTCAAATGAAAGCTCTCGAGGAGTGTAACTTTATAATGAGCTTATATCTTAAAAAAAATCAATATTTAAGATAGTACAGGGTATTTTAACAAATATCTTGTGAATCATTGACATTTTTGAAGATATAAGCTCATTTTGATGTTATACTTATCGAGACCTTTCATTTGAGTACCTACATCAATTTTTCATATATTTTATATATTTATATATATATATGGAAAATATATCAAAAATGCATGTGGGTACTCAAATGAAAGGTCTTGATGAGTGTAACATCAAGATGAGCTTATATCTTTAAAAATGTCAATATTTATGAAAGTACAGTGCAATTTAATAAAATTCATAATTTAATGAAGCAAAATTTAATTTTTTTAATTTATTAAAAAATTTTTCTTCTCAAAATAAATTTAAAATACATTTCTTCTTTTAAAAATTTTTAAATTAAAAAAAAACACATTTCTTCTTTATATAATATCTTCACAAAAATAATAATAAAATATTCTCAACAACAGTTTAAATCATTTCTTCTCTAAAAAAAATAAAATTCCAATATTCTTCTTCGAATAAAAAAATTTCTTTGACCAAAAAAACATAACCTTTTTTCGTAAAAAATAAAATAAAAAAAAAGATAGTGAAAGAAGAAAAAAGTAAGAGTGTGATTGTCCAGTGTCCGTTTCCAGTAATGCCAATCAGGTTTTAAAAGTGTTTTCCAGTAAAACACTCGCACATGTATCTCCTCCATCAATAGACAACCATATACCTATATACACATATGAGCACATATGTATATATAAATATATAAAAATTTTTTTTGGACCTCAGCATCTCAAGTGTCTGACATAGACAGAAGCCCAGTTACAGAGAGTAGTTACATACAAATAGTCTTCATTATATAACCCATAACGATATATAGATATCAATCAATACACAGCGGTAATAACAATAACATTAACAATAACAATAATAATAACAATAATAATAAAAAATACAGAGAGATGCACACACAGAGTAGACAGTAACTGACTTGTTTTAAATCCGGTGAAAAACAACGTGTACTATAATAATAAGCATTAGGATTAAGCGCGCTGAGAAAATTAATTTATGGACACGATCACCGCGGCATGCTGTTATTATTATTTTTTTTAATAAGTATATTTTATAATAATAATATGTATAATTATTTTTTTCTTAAAATGGCGAAGCCTGCAACGAAATAACAAGATGATACTGGATATCATTCCAGATTATAATGAGTATAATCCAGATTATAATGAGTATAATCCAAATATCACCCAGTATAATCTGGATTTTTTTTAACTAATATCTAAAAAATTTTTTTCCACAGATGTCACTGAGTATAATCTGGGATAATATCCAGTGTCATCTTTTTCTTTCTGTATGCTCGGTAAAAAAGCTTTCGTATTTATCGACATTGTCTGTCCCTAATTAATTAGGTATATACTATACCAAATATAAAATGTGTATAATGTGAGACAAATTGTTTCTCTTCCTAACCTTTTTTTTCCTCAATTGTAACTTATTTTAATAATTTGTTAATTAATGGGTGATTAATTAATTAAGATGATGCTGAAGTCAGCAGACATTTATAATTTATTATTTTAATGAAGAAAATTTTTTAAATTGTGAAGATATCTGCTGACTGCAGAGTCATCTTCTGACGTAATTTAATAATTAATTAATGTGGTTGTAGTTAGAGGGAGTAGGTTACCTGTTCTGAGCGATTTTCCTGAGCGTGTCCGGACTCCTGATGAGTTTATCCAGCGTCTGCGTAAGATTGGCGAAGGTAGGCCGGTGTGTACGTTCCTTCTGCCAGCAGTCAAGCATCAGCTGATAAATAGCCTCCGGACAATCCATGGGTGCCGGCAATCTGTAGCCCTTCTCGATGGATTTTATCACATCTTGATTGGACCAGTTCCAGTATGGTCGCTCGCCGTATGACATTACTTCCCAGCACACAATGCCCATGCTCCACACGTCCGATGCACTCGTGAATTTTCTGAATGCTATCGCTTCTGGAGCTGTCCATCGGACTGGTATTTTTCCTCCCTGGAAAGAAGAAATATTTAAGGTGAGGATCATTATCGCTTTTTTATACCGCTAGTTATTGTGCTTTACTTTCATGCATGCTAAAAGGTTTTTTTCAGTTCAGGTGCTGGATGTTATTTATTTTTTGTAGATTCAATGGTAGGGTAGAGAAATCGTAATTTTCAACTTAAAAAATGGGTTTTTGATGATTTTTTTGGTGATGAATTTATTTTTTAGTAAAATAATATTGATAGTTTAAAAGCTTGAGAAATTCTGCGTAAAATGAGCCGTCGCGCGACTTGATTCGCCGCAGGTCGATTTTTGATTAATTGATTAATAAAATATTAATGGCATTAATTTAATGAAAGAGTTGTAATTAATATAGGTTGTTTGGGTTCATTTTACGCGGAATTTGATGATCTAGGTCGCGGTACATCAAATTTGAAAAAAAAATCAATTTGATTTTTTGTGGTAATGACCAAAAAAACTCAATTTGTCGGAAAAAATTTCTCTAACCAGTACTTTGACCCCAAATTTCTGAAAAACAATACACTTTATGAAAAAAGTATATTCTTCCCCAGTGAATAACATTAAAAATCAACAACCATTACCATACTAACCCGTGTTGTGTAGGCTCCTTCCGTGGCACTCTCGATCTCGCGACTAAGCCCAAAGTCGGCGATTTTGCAAACCAGGGCTGCGTTGACGAGGACGTTCCTGGCTGCTAGGTCTCGGTGGACGTAGTTCATTTCAGCGAGGTACTGCATCCCGCTGGCGATGCCCCTTAGCATCCCCACGAGCTGGAGGACCTGGAATTTGCCGTCGTTGGCACGTAGAAAAGTGTCTAGGCTACCGTTCTCCATAAACTCGGTGATGATCATCACCGGATTACTCTTAGTCACTACGCCTTGGAGGAATATCACATTGGGGTGCTCGAACTGGCCCATTATTGATGCTTCCGTCAGGAAATCATTCCGGGCTTTGTCAGCCGAGCCGGGTTTCAGGGTTTTTATGGCCACGTCTATCTCTGCGCGGCCATCAGGTGGTAGCTTCAATTTTCCGCGACACACATCGCCGAATTCTCCGCCACCTAGATTATTTTGATCTGTTATTACGGTAATTATAATCTACCACTAGGTCAAATTACAAATTCTAAATTTTCTGTATTCGCTAACATGCAATATTTCATTTCTGGATGGTAGGTCCATCCTTAACGCCCAAATTCAATAGAATAGAATAGAACGGAAGGTGATAACGGAATAACCGAATATAAATATTGTAATTACTCACCAATTATTGCTTCGATCGTTATGTAACCAGCGTCTATTTCACGTGCAAATTCACGTACCGCTTGATTAGGATCTTCGTATGTATGTGGATCAACGTAACTTCGTGCACTAGTGCCACTGGCGTTACCTGCCCCCGCGGTAACACCTACTGCAGGCGTGAATAGTGGCGTAGTCACTGCAACGTCACCAAAACAGAGTCATTATATTAACACTTGGGTCCGCTGGATTTATATTACGATTTATCATCTTTATTCAGTATCTTTAGTCAGTTTTTATCAATTTTTGGCCACATTTACACCAACACACTCACCCAATTTTATTTGATTCAATATTCTTCCTTTAGTTTCATTTTTAGGACAGATATAATCCCCAAATTTGACAAATATAGTGCTTTCATTTATTTCTTTACGATTTTTTGAAGAATATTGAATCAAAAATAATTATATCTTAATAGTGGATGCAGGAAAACATGCGCTCATTCACACAACTATTTTTGAAGAACATTAAAAAGCTGATTAATAAGCCGTTGGATTTTTTGGGCTCATTTATATAGAAAAAAAAAAAATTGCCGGAGCCGGGGATCGAACCTAGGTTTTTTATATTAACACTTTTAGCAAGCTAATTATTTTTAATTTAAATATTTACTGTGAAAAATTGCAATTTTGGGAACTATTATTAAAACAAAAATTGATATTATTTAAGATTAACAGATTTTTTAAATGAAAATTGCTTTATATTTAAGAAAATAATTGATATACACGGAAAGAACAATAACTCACTGTACATAGGTGATAAAAAATGAAAAAGATTGAATATACTGCGAGATTTTTAATTTTTCTGAATATTGAATTTGAAATTTCCCGCTTTTTTTTTTTTGGCGGAAAATACGTCATAAGGTAACTTACGCCATCTCTTGGTACTTATGTGAACTTTTTGACCAAAAAAATAAACCATAGTTAGAATAAAGGATCTAGGGAACTAAAAACGTAAACTAAAATAATATTTCGAAGGGAATTAGGACTTACGCGAGGACTTGCTCTTGTTATTGGTATGAGTTGTCACAATCGGTGAACTGTCCATTTTGCAGTGCACTGTGAACAACACAATAACCAACAAACTGATTCACAAAAACAGCAACTAAAATATCTTAAAACATTCAAGCTAAAAATATCTTTTAAGTAGCAAATAAAAAAAAAAAAATAAAATAAAATAAGCATGCGAAAAACACCATGCATCCTTAAACCGATTTAGCCGTGAAATGAAAATATTCGTGCACTAGAAAATGGCTAGCGGCCATCTTGACAACTTTGGTTCTCAAGATGGCGGCTACTAGGAGAAAGATGCATAAAAAAAATTAGGAGGTGGAGAAGACTTACTGTAGGTCACAACTAGTCCTGTAGCGATTGTGTATAACGTTATATATTCATAGGTTATAATTGTTTGTTTATATTTGGTTGGTTGGTTTGGTTTTTGGTAGCAGGTTGGATTAGGGAAATCGCACATGAAAAGAAAGAATTTAAGAAAATTTTGTTAGATTATTATTAGCCAAATTGTTGCGTTGTTTTTCATCAACTTTCCTTATAATGGGGTTATGTTTAATAACATTTTTAAAGGTGATGAAAAACATCGGGAATATTAATATCTAGTTGTAATTTTGAATTTTTAGATCGTTTTATTTATAAATTTTGCTTTTTTAGAAAGAAAAAATTATTATTTAATGTCTGGGCCCATAACCTGTAGCAATTTAAAATTTCGCGGTAAATTAAGTAAAATTTTATTTATTACAACGATTTTTAATAAAGTCTTTTATACTTGAATATATCTTGATATGATCACATATTGTTTTAATATTGCAAGAAATAATCTTTGTTATGTCTGGGCCCATAACCTGTTAAAATTTATAATTTCACGGTAAATTAAGTAAAATTTTGTTTATTCAAATAATTTTCAAGTAAAATCAATCATTTTTAAATGATAAATAATTTCAATTTAAAAATCCCAATATAAAAAAATTCCCATAATTCTTTCATAAAGTATCGATTAATTCCTCTGAAACATTCCGGAGATTCCAATGACGACAGTTTGAAAAATTTATTAAATAAAACGACCTACATAATAATAAAAAAAAAAAAAAAATGTATATACAATTTACATATACAAGGGAGAAAAGGTATGTAAATATATATTTATATCAAGACCACACATTGCAGGTCAGGGGGGGGGGGGTTAAGTTAAATTACCTTGCGCTCAGTGACACAACACGGGCAATTATATTTAAAAATTGATAATGGAGGGTTCAATATACATTATAATTAAGTAACAAAAAAGGTGAGTATTGGTATTATTAATAACAATAATTATATTAGTGTAATAACAAATGAATAACAAACGTACCTTCGCCATTTCTGTATTCAAGTGTGTCGCAATCGCTTGGCTGTTTCTTGTTGCATTCATCAGAGGCTCTGCTGTGCATCGAAAAAATAACAAAACAATATATCAGTCACGTATTGGAATTTAAACGAGTTTAAGAATGGGAATGATGAACAAGTTCGGAAGAAATAACACTGAAGTATAATTTAAAGGTTAATAGAGATGTTAAGTGTCTAAAGGAGAACGGAACTGGAATTTAAGTTAAGGTTAAGGTGTTGAGGTATTTTTAAGTAGCTTTCTATCATATATATCTATATATATATATATATATTACTTGATAAATATTTATTTATTGGAGCTTCCAGATTTATTATGACGCTTATTACCTTCTGAGAAAGAGGACAGTCATGATAATTATTATCACGAGCAAGACCACCACTGCGACTATAGCGCCAGCGATTATGCGCACCTGCATGTTGTCGTCATCACCAACATAGTCTGCAAACAATCAACACATTATTGGCAACATAAACAAACCAACAAATTAAATAAAATGTTCCGAGTATCACTGATTTTATTTATTGCGCTGTTTGTTTTACTTAAACTCTACCAGTTTGACTGTATGTTATAAATATATAAGGTGAGTATTGATGTGTTTGTTTTTTTTAGGTTATTTATTTAGCTTGTTTTCATTGAATTTTATTTTTTTTTTGGTTTGGATAAATTTATTGACTACTTGTGACTACTGGCAGGATCGTTTATCGTTTCTCACCTAGTCCCATTGCATGGTTCGTCTTTTTGTAGATCACTGGTGTGTACTCGCCCCATCCGCGGGTCGTTTTGGCTCGCACCTGGATCGCGTAATCGGTTGCCGGGCGCAAACCTTTGAATGTTGCTGATAAATCGTGTGTTTGCACTATCGTTGCGTTTATTGCGTCATCAAATCGGGGATATACTTTTACTGTAATCAATTTTTATTTTTGTTAGTTTTTTTCAGATAGAGGACAAAGTTAGAAGAAATAAAATTAAGGTGAGTTTTGAAAAAATTTGAATCTTATCTTTTTTTTTATTGAAAAAAAATAAAGTTGTTTATTTTTTAAAATTGAGTATACCGCGACCTAGATAATTAAATCCCGAGTAAAATGAACCCAAACAACCTGTATTAATTATCACTTAATCATCAAATTAATGGCATTAATATTTTATTAATCAATTAATCAAAAATCGACCTGCGGCGGATCAAGTCGCGCGACGGCTTATTTTATGCGGAATTTCAAGAGCATTTCAAGTAACTATTTTATTTGACTCAATATTAATTCGAACTGCAGTTAATTAACGTTTTAACAGCTAAAAAATATTATTTTGATTTGCTAATAAGTAAATTTTTGTCGGATTGATTTCAACAACTGAATGACTTTTCAATGATAGCAATAAATCCGCGATGTGGATTGCAGACAATAAAGAAGATATGAAGTGTGTATAAATAATAAAAATAGAGGTAAAATTAATGCAAGAGCAGTAATAATGTGAAACTTAATTGAAGTAGTAATTAAAAAATGTTAATGCACCTTCATAACGTTCAACAATATCACTCTCGCCTAATTCAGTAATGGGAGCATCCCAACTGATGCTGAGCTCGGAACTCTTGACGCTAGTAATCCTAACATTGCTGACGAGACTCGGTACACTTGCCTCGGTTGTCACTGTAATATCTACATACTCAGAACGGCCCGCCATTGGTGATACACCGTTCTCGGCAAACACTTGAAACCGATAAGTCGTAACTGCATTTAATCCGGTGATGGTGATCTTCGTGTCGTTGAAGATTTCCTGGTTTTAATTAATTTATTAAAAAAAATTGAACAACAGTAATTAATTAAATTTCATGCATCGCTGGTTGATTATTTTAATGATCTAATTTACTTACAGTATTGGGAATATACTTGACTCCGGTGCTGCAGGCGTCGCAGACAACCCTGTAAGTGATATCAAGTCTTCCTCCCTGCTGATAAGGCGCATTCCAGGATAAAATTACCGTAGATTGATCCACGAAATTCACTGTCAGGTTTTGCGGGGCTGATGGTGGCTCTGAAGATAAGAAAAATGTAAGTTAACTCATCTAAACTTAAAGATTAAGATAAATTTCCCGTATAAAATATCCCTAGACTCTAAAATCGTTTTTTTGACGATTAGCAAAAACATAAAGTTGCTTATTTTTGAAAATTAAGTACACCGCGACCTAGATAATGAAATCCCGAGTAAAATGAACCCAAACAACCTATATTAATTATTACTCTATCATCAAATTAATCGCATTAATATTTTATTAATCAATTAATCAAAAATCGACCTGCGGCGGATCAAGTCGCGCGACGGCTTATTTTACGCGGAATTTCAAGAGTATTTTAAGTAACTATTTTATTTGACCCAATATCAATTAGAACAAACGTTAATTAACGATTAATAACGAAAAATGTGAACTTACGCGTGCATGGCATTTTCCTCGGGTCTTTAGGCGCCCTGAAGTATCCGACATCACATCGGCACTCGACAAATCCATAATCGGGAGCAGTGCTATGTGCAGGACACTTCTCACACGTATGAGAGCCAGCCTCGTGCTTGAACTTGCCAATAGGACACTCAGTGCACTGTTGCTTCTCGACATCGGCTTGATAACCGGGTTTGCAGTGGCATCCTCCAGATGGCAAGTACCACTTTCCGTCTCCTTTGCAGAGGAAAGTTGGTTGGTCTATTTCCACGGCATTTGCAACGCACGTGCCAATAGTTTGCTCTATCAGGGCAACTTCACGGCCAGTTGGCGTTGCCGGGAAGTGGGCAAAGTTAACAGACACCTCTGGACAACTTATGTAGTAGACTTTTATTGCCAGGATGGATATACAAGCCCCCTGGTCCCGGAATGCAAAGTACACTCCTTTCTTAGTCACTGGTATTGATTTAACTTCGGTGTTTATTATAACTTCGGTGTTTGTGTTGAATCTTCCCTCGCCCGCGGCTATGCGACCTGTCATTTATATTTATTAGTTTACAGATAAAGGTACTTACTTACTTACTTATTTATTTATTTACTGCTTTGTATTTAATGCCGGTTACCGAAAAGGAATTTAAACTTTTCAACAAATTCTCTTTAACGAAATCCGATTTTAGTATTTAAACTTGTCCTTTTTTACTTTAATTATAACTTTTCAATACTCATAAGAGCTTTACATTAAAACTTATATTAAAAGTTTTGAATTTTTTTATTTTTCGCGCCATATTTTTGATGCGAGTTTTTTTGAATTTTTTTAGTGAAAAGGTTTTGGATAAGGTTACTAAAGAGAATTTTACAAAAAATTCCGAGTTTCTAAGTCTATTTATAGAAAATTTGTGAAAAATAAGCGAAATCCAAAAAACGGAAAATTCAAAGCAAAGGAACCGGGTTCGATTCTTAGCAAGGATAAATTAAAATGTCAACCATTTAATTTTTTTTTCTTAACTAAATTAAATGAAGAAATGATTTTCTAAATAATGACAGTAAACTTATCAATAAATTCCGGCAGCTGTTAGCAGACACTACAAAGCAATTCTTGAGCAAATACCCGACTAATTATTATTGCAAATTTAGCTTACCTATCAGCTTGTAACTTTCGGGTTCCCATGGCGGAGGTTCTTTGGTGGCGGCATCAAACTCGTAGTAAAGCAGAGAGAATGTCTCCTTGCAGCTAAGTGCATTACCCGGGAACAAGGAGCAGTCTCTTGTAGTAAACTTGATCTCAATGTACATACGATTGGCCGGACCACGTTCTATGAAGGGCGTCCAAAGCCAGTTGTTGACGTTGTTGTAGGCGACATCGCAAACAACATAACTTCTCCAGTTTATACCCTTGTCGAAGTTGGTAAAGGATTCCTCCACCCACTGTAAATAAACGTAAACAAAATTTTTAAGGGTTGTTCACTCTCAATAATAAAGACGAAGAAGAAATTCAAATAAAAAGCAACTTTCTGAAGAAATACCATTTCTTTCCCGGTTTTTGCTTCACGGAATATTGCTAGGCACTCAATGCATAAAACTCGACATGTAGTTGTAAGTATAACTTTAAAAGTTTCTTACTATAACTTTTTTCATAGATATTTATATTCATTTTTATTTTTTAGTATCGCTGAAATCAGATACGGAAAAGTTTTAGGACTCAAGTACCTCCTTGGGTCTCGATTGCGAGGAGCGATTCACGAATTGCGGACAACCTTGAAGAACGAGAGGACGTTATTTGTCCTTAAGAAGAACAAGTGGAGTCTGGAGATACTGGGAAATAGGAAGGTGGTGATGATGAGGCCATTTTCACCCTACACCCTAAAAATATTCTTACTTACCCAAAGAGCTGTAAAAGCCACCCTATCTACAGTCGCCCAGAAGTTTCTTAAGACGCTTTATTCCGACTTGACAAGTTGCTAGGACACTTTGCTGCCGGATAATGGCCGACGTACTAACGGTAAAATCTTTCCCGACATACTACTACTGTACAATGAATTACAGATATAAATATATATCATATACTATATTATATCGACTATAGAGCTACTTGCTGAGTGTTTTATCTCACCAGTAGATGGATTTTGACAGTTCGCTAATGCTAACTCAGGAGTTGTAATACTTTAAGGCTATTTGCTATTAGTTATCAGCTAGTGAAGAAGAAGTATGAATTGCCAAGAAAATTTCTACTTTCAACGGATAAGTTAGTGTCATTTCATTTCCGATGGGACGTGTGAGGTAAGTGAAAGTTTGTTTATTACATTTATTTGTTAAGCTTATTCTTATGACTTATGCACTTATGTTCAGGATAATCAATTTAGTAACTTAAGATATTAATTTTATGCAATCGGCATGTTAGTTTTTACACTAAAATAACATCAACGTTAGATTGTGAAGTAATCTTTCTTCTGCATCTCAAAAACCGAGTTGAATATTGTGGGAAATTCCTGAGCAATTTTCGTTTCATTGAATTTTTAAACTTTGTACGTCCATGATCATTGATCATCAACTTGATGATAAGACCCGACAGACACGTAGTTCGGAACAACGTACTCCTTTTAGTTATACGGCTAATAAAAAAAAGTGGTATAAAAAGCAAAAGTATAAGCATGAGTGTAAGTGTGAAGAGGGTTCCCGAGCGAAATAAAACGATAACACAATAAAAAAAACGAACAAGTGGCAAAAAAGTACGGAGGATGCAATATTTTCTATTTTCCTCAAGCCACCAATAATAGATATGAACTACCACGAAATAAAGCCAATAAGCTCACGACGGTCCGAAGACGGGAAGAGGGTTGTAATATTGCTGGCATAATCGCGATTCCGATGGTGTAGGTTCCCGAGGAAAAGGGACGGAATAGGGTCCAGATCTTAATATATATTGAGTTCTTCCCTCTGTTTTCTGCTCGACTCTCCTAGGGAACTAATACTCGCATACTTGTTCTATTCCCCAGGATAGAACTGCCAGAATAACAAGGGATGAAGCTACGGCTCAATAGTGCAACGATGCACGTATTGGACACTTTCCTTATTCTTTTTCCCTTAATCTCGCCCCATTCGTGTGCTGCCCAACACTTTGAGAAATAAATTAAACTGGGGTATAAACTGATCGCACGTGTGCCCAACACCCCAGGCTTCCAGGCTGGTTAGTACACGCGCCGAGCCTTAAGTTTGTGTAATCGTTCATAGTTTCCGGCCTGTCACGTTAATACTTTGGATAAATATATTTTATTTGGATTTGGATGATCAGAATTTGAGATTTAAAAATTTATATCAACTAGTAAATTTTTTCCGGCTTTAGCAACATCTTTAGCTTCTTATTTAAAGATGTTCTTAATGATTGATGACTAATTACATCTAATAATTACTTTTTGATCAATTAAACAAGACATTCTACTGGAAGCATAATTAACGCCTTCTATTTAAAGGAACACTTAAAAGTGATCAATAGTCAAGAAAGGATTGCCAATCAGTTAAAAGCCAGAAAGTTTCCGGAAACCCGGTTAACCACGAAATCAATGGAAGCCGAGAAGGTACACAGAGCTTGAGCTACAGCTAACTAACCAAGTGGCCCTGTCCTTCGAGCATCGTTGTCACGTCAGGCAACTAAACAACTTGGGTCGTCGACTTGCTCTTGCGGGTTTGCGACAAACAGACCGCAAGGAATTACCGGCGCGCGTTACCATTAGTTTTATTGGCCCAAGAGGCCCGTCGACAGCAAGACGTCTGTCCAAACGAGAACCAGCTGACCAATCTGAGTTAACTTGAATCAGAAGGAGAGGAACGAATCCGAATGAGGGGATCAAGCCTACTCCGGATTCGAGATCAAGAAACCCGAAACCGCAAAAAGAGTCCATGAAGAATCTCTCCGTAGACTTGCCAAGTCTGGTTTCAGTTCGCATAAAGAAACTCTCTTTGGTTTGGACCCGTTTCACTGGGGCCCCAAGGGAATCACCAGGTCCTGCTCCTGCTCCTGCGCACTCAAGAAACCACCTTGCGATTCTCAACCCGAAAAAATATCAGAATATGCCAGATCCTGGCAGTTGCTACTGACGTATTTCCGGCAGATTCACCGGGCGCTAATAAATTTCTTTACAGTTTCTTGCTTGGTCTTACTTGAGAGTTTCATTAGCTCAACACGTGACGGTTTTTTTCGACACCTAATCATTTAAGTTAAGAGCACATCTGGATCCTCTAAATTCATTAGGTGACAAATTTCGACGCTAAAGTACGAGCTCTTGCTTGAGTTATTGCTCTAGTATCTTACGACGGACGTGTAGGAGTGAGACTGCTATGATATGGACAAGAATATAGAAATAAAGGAAAAAAAAAAAAAGTTATTAAAAAAGTTTTTTAGACTTCCGCGTGATAAATTTCGTTTTGAATTTAAAGTTTGAGGTGAGAGACATTTACTGCTATTTTATTATCACTCTGTTTTTTATCTACGATCAACATATATTTTTGTCTAATACTAACTTATAAGCTCTAATGATATTAAATTTCATTAGGTTTATGTTACGCCTGAGTGGTACACCGTAAAGGATAATCAATTATTTATAAGCCGGGGGTTTGATGTTCTTTTTTTTTTTTGGGTTAAGGTTAAAGAACAGTAAAATTTTTTTTATTTTAAGGGGTATATCAACCTTTGAAAATCTTTCTAAATTGGTGCGTCAAGACAAATATATCCTCGAAAATTAGTATTCCGAGGTTTTGCTCTACATAGGATCATTTTTAACAATAAATTGTAACGCTTAACTTTTCTTATTCTTGTAAATTATGACGGAATTTATTTTAGCCGATTTAAAAGCAAATTTCGTTGGTGTAGAGCAAATAAACGGGCGCCGAATTTTATTGGAATGAATGAAAACGATTTATGAAGACGTATTGCTGTGATTTCATGGTATATATCTATATATATATATATATTACAGTGAAGAATGGAAAACGGAAGAAAATAGGAGCTAGAAGCTCTGGCTGGCGTTGTTGAGTAAATTGGAAGAGCGCAAGATCAACGAATATAACCTGAAAGTTTAACTTTTTATTGTATTCGCGAGGAGGAGACAATGAAATTGGAATCCCAAGTTCTGATGGATCGTAAATTTTTCAAAATTTAAGCTGCCGAGGGTCGGGTACACAGATTTATATATTACATACTACAATCTCCGATATATGTGTGCTCTAGAGCAATAATAGATCGCTGGGAGGGGAAGGGGGATAACTGCGGAATATAAAAGAACGGTTTTGATTTCCAATTGTAGCCATCCCCGATACGAAAGAATGACTTTAAATAACAAAAAAAGAAAAATAAGCAAGCCAAAGAATAAAACTAACTTCTGACAATGCGGGACTCCATCAATTGGTTATATGGATTGTGTGTGACACAAAAGGGCACCTTTGGCCCAGTCTCCAAAGCCAAAGGGTTCATTGCACTCGGTGCAACTTGGAAAATACGCATTTGTTCGGGATAAATGTATGTCGTTATAGATATATTCCATCGAATATATACGACCGGAGCTCGAGGAATAGGGATGTCGAGGAATAAAACACCCGAATCGCATCCTACCAAACTTTATATATATCCAAAGACGAAAAATGTATGCCGAGTTCTTTCCTGCAATAAACAAGATCCGGGGATTTAGATAACATTTCTTTAAAAAGAGGTTACCGACATTGCAAAACAACTTATAATGCCTTTTCAAGAGGTAAATCTCGGCACTACCCGAAGGGAAGTTCCAGGTGGTCATCAAAGTCAACTTTGGGTTAATGGATGACAAAATGTTCTCTAGAGTCTCAATGATTGCTTCTAAGACCTTTATGATCTGAAGAAATGGGTTATGTAAGCATATAAGTTTCATATGTAAACTTATTGGCTTTTTTAATTATTAAAGTACGATATTGGTGAACGAAAGAGCTTCACATGTGATAAATATACTTTTTTAATGATCATATTAACTTCATATGCGACCTTATTGGTTTCTTTAATAATTAATAAGCTTTTTAATGAGCTTATGCTGTATTAATGAACAACTCGACTTCATTAACACCCAGAACATTTTATTCATGATCATATAGAATAAAATTGCACAAAATGATATTTCCAACGCAATAATAATCCAACATATCAAAAGTATTTATTTAAAATCCTGAACGACAGAAACTGTTGTAACTCGTCTTGTTTTTTGCGTTGTATCAAACAATCCGAAAACCGCAGGATGAGTTTTTGTGACCTCATCATCAAAGAGACAGGTTTTATATACAATATATATACGTATATATATATATATATTGTTGTTTTGTTGGTCTTCAAAAGCAAAAACCGACACATACAAACAGAAGCCACATGATACAGGAGCGACGCATTAATTTTGAAACGTATATATATTTTAGTTTTGATGACAAAGACCCAGGACCCGTACCACATTTAATATGGATGTCTGTCGATAACTGTACATGTCACATCCTTTTTCGGATTTTCATTTCGAAATGTCAATTCGGTTGTCCTTGTTTCTCCCCTTATCTCTTTTTCCGAAATATATTTCCGCACTACCAAGAGTAGAGCATGAATATCATTCTTCAGTACATAAAATTTCCGATAAATTTTACAGAGAATGC